TGTATTTACTTAACTTGTGATATTGTGTTTTGTGAATTCAAGAGGATAAACTATCTGAACTAGGTTTGCGTGTTCCCAGAGAATGGTAGGCCCTTATAGCACTGGTTTCCTTCTTCCTGAACCTACCATAAGTTTCACACAGCAAATCAAGTCTCTCAAGTGCATAAATCAGCTGTTTGTCAAAGAGGTACCATAATGTTAAATAAGATCCTAGTTCTCCAGATGTAGATTATTATATGAGTGAAAAAATAAATTAGTCACTACTGTCTTTTTGAAGCTAATTACAACTATGACACCATAACTAGGACATAACAATTCTGCACACTACACCAATAAGCAGAGTCTTCATAAGTGACCAGCACACTTGTCTACCTCAGTTATTACACACAGAGGAACTAGTCAAGTGGTCAAAGAGTAGACTATAAAACTCCAAGTAATGATTTTATTTTCCACATTATGAATGTGCTATCTAGTATGAGGGCTGGAAACCACATATGACTATTGAAATTTAATTAGATTAAAATAAAGCAAAATTAATAGTTAATTCACTAGCCACACTCACTATAGTTCAAATGCTCAATAGAATTTAATGCATTAGTTATCACAGAAAACTATTCAGTACTAGAAAACTGTTCCAGAAGCTCAGTTTAAATTTAGGATGGATGTGTGAAGAAATCCATTGTTTGCCAGTCTTTTTCTGAATTCTTGCAACCATAATGAACAATTAAAATGTTTACAAGAAAATATGAGAAAAGGAATCATAGGTAACTTGATTTGTTTTTACTTGCACTGGTAACAATGTTAATGGATAGTAGTTACTGAAGACTTATTATCACAGAATTAAATTATAAAAGAGAAGACTGAGACACAGACTTCAAATAACTTGCATGAGATATCACAGCACAGAGATGATATAGCTAAGTATTAACTCAAGTAATTGGACTCCAAAGCCCTAGCAAGATATTTTCCTGAGACGCAGTGGATTAAATTCCATTGCTATAGGAATTCTTCGGAGAATATTTAAGACATATCAGGTGTTCTACACATGCAGACTCTCTTTGAAAGCTACAGGTTTGGTAGGGTTTTGTTGTTTTCTTTTGTTTTTGCATCTAAGATATTCTTGTCCATAACCTTCATTTCCTCAGCTATTTGAGTATATGTTTCTAAAATTCCTAAAGGCAGTTTTGTATTCTAAATCTGCTCTTCCCAAGATTTTCTTTGGAAGATGAAAAGTTGATTTCATTCCATAGATCTTTTTGCCTTAATTTAATCTTTATTAGGAAAGCAAAGATTACAGGGTTGGATGTTTTTCCAAGACTGTCATGGGAACTAAGAGAAATTTACAAGTTAAAAAATCATAGAACAGAAAGTCTCCAAAACATAACAAATATCTTTGTGTAAGTCATCTAAAAATATTTTTTAGTTTCAAATGTTTTGAATGCTACTAGTATTGAATCATTTGTTCTTTAATTCAAGGGAAATCAAGAATTTTTCTCCAAAACTTTGGAAAGACTCTTGTCTCATGGGCTTTTGGTTGCTATACAACCAGGAAGACTATCAGGTCCTGCCTGACCTGGTGGTGCAAGCCTGTAATCCCAGGGGCTCAGGAAGGTGAGGCAGGACGATTGCAAGTTCAAAGTTAGCCTCAGCAACTTGGGCACTAAGCAATTTAATGGGACCCTGTCTCTAGATAAAATGTATATAAGAAAAAAAAAAAAGAAAGAAAAAGAGGGCTCGGGTGTGGATCCCTAGTGAAGTGCCCCTGGGTTCATTCCCCAGTACCAAAAAGAAAAAAAAAAAAAAAAAAAAAGAACATCGGGTCTTATAAGCTGTTCACTGGTGCTCTCTGACTGTGAGCAATCCTTATTCCAACTTCAGTGTAATGCACTCTATAGATTCTATGTGTGAAGGTTCACCAGTCATTTTGACTAGTGAAGGTGACTTAAAAATTCTTCCAGAAAGTTGTTTCAACTAGATGAAGATTGGAACATTCTATTCCTAGTTTAATATTTTCTAATATTTCATTGATACAGAAGCAGTAAAGTATTCCATGAATCACCTGAATGCCATGCAATTAGATCAATACTGACTTCCTCTGCATTGGAAATTCCTGAGTTATGAAATACTGATATAGCCAGCTTTAATTTTATTGGTCCTAATAAAATAAATGGTCTTTAAATATGATTGCATTGGATTTTAAGTAAATATTTAGATTCTGGAATATGATATGTAGATGGTTTTGTAAAGACTTCAAACTTGTAGGGGGAAAATGCTTTCATTTTTTTTCCCTTGGTGCTTGTCCTTGACACTTCTTAAAGAGTAGGTTAAACAATTTTTGAGAACATGTTCCCTGTGAGTATTCTCTAAAATTAGTCCCTTGGTAAATTAAGTGTCAGATCAATCTCTTGCTTCCTCAGAGCAATATGAATATAGCATTCCTTTTTTCCACATGCATCTAATTCCCTTTAGTAGACCTTACTTATGTCAAGTATTAATTCTTAGAACATAGCTCTTGTATGTAAACACATTCACTGATTTGAAATGGTTTCAAAATCTTGCCCCCCACCCCCATGCTAGGGATATAGGAAGTTGATGTTAAAATAGCTCAGTGTTTGGATTTATTTATGTTATTTTAAAATTCATCTTTATTGCTTTATTCACATTATGAGACAGCTTTATAGGCAATTCTTGGACATATTTTGGGGAAAATCCTTTTATTGAAATAATGTTTTGGTGGACATAATTCATCCATCTTGGTTTTATTGTTTGTTTGAAAATATTGATAAAATATAAGACAATCAAAATCCTACTACTTTTTTTAGGATTATATAAAATAAGAAGTGATTCTCTATGTATCAATCAATCCTTTCCTCAAAGGTAATTAACATCAATTTGATTCCTATTTGGTTTGATAGTAATGTTTATAGTCTATAATAACTATATATGTATGCATATATGTGTATATCTCTATGTGTTTATAAGTATAAAGTACAACATATTTATAAGGATTTGGACTTTGTACATGGTCATTTATTTGTGTATACATGTACACATATCTGTTTGCAAATTTGATACTGCTTTAAGAGTATACTTGAATATGTTTGTGGTTCAGTAAAGGTACAGTTATTTGTCTTTTCCTTTTAAATGATTACATAGAGTTCCATTGTACTTGTATATATTATCTACCATCCCTCTCTTGACATATTCTATTTTTTTCTAGTCAATCAGTATTGTAAGAACTATACTTGTACATGTGTTTTAAGAACTAATGCCATTATATCTGTATAACAGAAGTAAATTGCTAGATTTAAAGAGATGTCTTTCACTTTCAAATTAAAATACTAATTGATTTTCAAAATACTTTGGAAGAGACATGATGTGTTCTTTATGGTTAATTTCGCAACTTGTATAACAAGCATTTCTTTGAAAACCTGGACCACATCTGTTAAGGAGATTATTCTATAGGCAACACCATCTATAGTTTGTATAACTATTGTGCCTAAAGTGTATATCTGTATAAATGTTTGCATATCCCTGTCAAAACTTTGATTTTATCTAACAAAATCAAATTTATTCTGCAAAAAAAGAGATGGATCTTTGAGGTTAAACAGCTACAGCCTTTGAGAAATATGGTAATGGAATATTTTTGTTCTGTTGTTTCAAAATTGTTGAGCATGAAGAACTCTGGTAACAATTGGATGTAAAGAGGATTTCACCAATCTACTTAGGCCACTATTAAAATTTTTATAGCCATTCTTGTTTATGAATTTAATAATCTTGAGTTGTTTATTACATTTACATGTCCCCAGTAAATAAGGGACACAATAAGTGTATGAATTATTTAAAGTATGAATTATTCCTTCACCCTTTATCATTTTGCTCTTTGAGGTAAGGCTCTGTGTAGCTCAGTTTATCCAAACACTTGACTCAATCTTATGCATCACATAGAATCACTTTTTATGGCTTCATGCAGTGCCCTGGAAACTGGTTGTATCCTGTTAAAGAAAACATAACTACGACTCTTAGCACAGTGCCAAGGGTGATTGCCTGGTGAAAATCTTATAAGAGACTGTTAATAAGAATATTCGTCCAGGATCACATCCATGATTAAGAGTGTTCTTATCTCAAGAATGAAACAATACGAAATATAAATTGTATTCTTCAATGTCAAAAAGCATAGTTCAAATGAGAATTATCTTTATTTTATAGAGTGAAGCTATATTCTATAGATTAAAAGTCAATAATTTGGAAGAAATACTGTACAATGTTATTTTTTAAAAGATTTTAGTATATGCCTCTCTTAGTACCAGTATGAACACTTCTAGATGTTTTCTTTTAATATTTTTAGTTGTAGATGGACACAATACCTTTATTTTGTTTATTTAGTCTTTTCATGTGGTGCTGGCAATCGAATTCAGTGCTTCATTCATGCTAGGCAAGCACTTGACCAGTGAGCCACAACCCCAGCCCTCTCTAGATAAATTTGATACTGTCTTATGACTTTATAATTCGTGGGAAATTTTTATGATATATTTGTATGTATACACATAAGAATACATACAGGTGTATATATAAATTTACATGCATACATGATTTTCATTTACAACCTTTGTGTTGTTTCACAAGTGATGAAAACATTTATAAATACTTTGTGAAAAATACTGACAGAATACTTTTATGAAAAAGAAAGCAAAACAAACAAGCAAAGAACAAGAAGAAATAGGGAAGCAATCTGAGCCGAGAAATAGACTTACACACATTTCCCACAAAGTACTAAAAAGGCAAGGGTTTGTGCTTGCAGGAGTAGAGTTTTCATGTGTCTTAATGCCAGGTAAGTGTCATGAGTATTACATTTCCTTTTTTGTAATTCTCCATAAACCCATTTTTTGATGTGAGGTCATGCCAAAGCATTTTCTTGAAAATGTAAACATGTTTTTAATTTGTTATAGTGATGACTTTGCCAGATATTCCACCAGAGTGAAATTTCTTTATTTTTTCAGAGTCTGCCATTGAAGAAGATTCCATGCAAAGCCAGTGCACCGTCAGGCTCCTTTTTTGCCCGAGATAATACAGCAAATTTCTTATCCTGGTGCCGAGATTTAGGTGTGGATGAAACATGTCTATTTGAATCTGAAGGTCTGGGTATGTATTGCCTTCATAAATTTAGTTGATACCATATTTAAATTGTTTTTGTCTTAGTAGATATTAATCCTTTTTTGCTGTATTATGGAATTACACATATTTTTATCTTTAAAAATATGAGTTTGCTGTAAACTTGTAGATCTCTTGTGAACTTGTCCCACTATATTTGTGGAAAAATATATATGTCTTCTTACTATTGCTTACGTTATGGATAAAAGAATAGAAACAGATGTGGCATAATCCTTTCCAATCTAAAAATGTGAGCAATTAATGCAAACTTGGTCAGTGTTTGAAAGCACAGGACTACATTTTACTATGAGGCTCTAGTTGGGTCAGAGGGGTAGGTATGTATTATCCAGCCATGAAAACGTTTTCCTTTATCCTTGATGAAATATGAAAACTTTGTGTCTGCCATCAGCTCTATTTTTGTGGGAATTGAAGTTTGTTAGTTTATACATTTGTCTGTTTATTTTTCTAGAGAGATAGAAATCAAGTATGAAAGGAGGATATTAAAATAATAAAAATAATGAAAGGAGGATATGAAGATAATCAAACATAATGAAATAAAAGGCACTTACTAGATTGTTGGTTTTTTCCTTAATGAATTTTGGCAAGTCTATTTCCAGATCAAAGAGTGAGCTTTTGCATTTTTGTTGAAGAAAGCCCATGATTGGACTATTTAGTGTTTCAACGTACCCAATACCCTGGAATTGAATATTCCAACCTCCTGTATGGGCTGCATGATAACTCTAATATGGAGAATATCAGAATTAAAATACCTCTTTAGTGAAGTGGAACTAAGTAAAGAAAGACAACATTTGGTTAAAGGAAAAAGAAAACTCTGGTTCTTTTGCCTGAAGTTTTACAAAAACATAATTTACAAAATCTTATAATACCAAATATTAGCATTGAATTAAGCTGAGATTGGGAGAACATTTTAGACCTGAAAGAAATATGAAACAAAATAATTGCACAGTAGTGTGCCATACACAATAGTGTGCAGCTTGAATGCTTATTAAATAATTGGACTTTGAGTGTTACTATTTCAACATGTAAAATAAAAGAAATTGAAATATATGACACATATTTGTGTATCACATAATGTATATATGTATATCACATGTGTGATATACATGTATGTGATATACATATGCATGTATACACACACACATATAAACACACACATATACATATGCATCTCCAAGTCTCAGTAACAAAGAATATACTCAATATGTTCTACACTGAGTGTGTGGACAATTAATGTCATGGTATGAAATTCTGGAGTGCTCCAATTTGACAAAGAATTGCCATACGAGGAAAAATTCCTTTATTTTAATATTAATTAGTTTGTTTATTTTACAAGTTTTTTTATTAAAGAAGCATTTTTCCATTTATTATTATAAATCAAGTGAGTTACAGAGAGCTATAAATGTAAACATGACCTTGTCTCATAATCCATGAGTTATGATGTTACTTGAATTAATATAAATTTTCAGACAGAACAATCAGTCTAATCCTAAATTTTCTCTTAGTCCAAGGTTCTAGTGTTTATTTATTTGCATTTTTTAATTTGATAATCTTTTTTTTTTCTTTTTTTGGTACTGGCTTTGAACTCAGGGACTCTCAACCACTGAGCCACTATAAAATATAAAATAGAGCCACCTAGCTCTATTTTGAGCTAGGTGGTTCTATTTGTATTTTATTTAGAGACATGGTCTCACTGAGTTGCTTATGCCTTGCCATTACTGAGGCTGGCTTTGAAGTTGTGATCCTCCTGTCCCAGTATCTTGCACTGCTGGTGACTTTTTAAAGTCCAATTTAATACTCTATTCTGTTGCTACAAAGCCTAAAGCAAATTCTAGGATCACCTTGGTAGGTAAATTTATACTTTGTAACATGTATAGTTATATCAAGAAGAATTTTGACACTGCTTTACTTATTTACTATGTTTGACAAACAAACTAATATTATATAAAGAAAAAAAAAAATATATATATATATATATATATATATATATATATATATATATATAATCTATATAAACTCTTGAGTATTTGTCCACTAAAGTATTCAGTTTTGATTCTCTTCTATAACTTAGCTTATAACTTAAAATTAAAATGTATTTAAATATCCCAGAAGGCTATTAAAACCAAAATTTCAATGCTTTTAAAATTGAAAATCATTTTTAATCTTTTCAGTTCCAAACTAAATCAAGGAATAAGGCTGCAGTTTGCTACTAAATTAAAAGATAAATTTGAAATTTCTCCTTCTCAGATAAGGACATGAGGTGATGTATAATAGGCCCTGGGATACAGAAGGAGGGGGCCGATATTATAGCATTGACTTTAGGATTAGTCAGAGAAAGGAAACAGCTGTGCCCATAGATGTGAATGATAATCAAGAGGAAGGACAATGAGAAATTCCATTTTCCCAAGTGGAATCCTTTCTCCTTGGATTTTTCTTATTATTCACTGTGGGTGAGGAAGTGATTGAGCGGTGGCTGCTGGCCTTGAACTCTGTAGTTGCAGAATTGACTTTCCTACACAATAACACTGTGTACTCTGCTTGATGTCTTTTCACACTTCACTTTTGAAAGGGAATTTAGGGCAAGTTTTTTTTTTTTTTTCTTCTTACCTTAAGATTTCATTTCAATGACTCACCAGATGAAGAACATTCTTTGTGTCCTAATGTTTAAAACCGCAAATCAAATGAAAAGATGCCCCTGATGAAGGGGGGAAATGTGTTTGAATGAATGATAAAGTAGATCTCTGTACTGAGTAGGTGTGAAAAGGCTTCTGTTTTCTGCTGTTCAAAGTCTTTGCCTGCATAAAACATCCTTATCGTGGTGGCAACTGATATGCTACCCTTTGCAGCAGTGCTTTTCTGTACAATTATTTGGGAGAAGATTGTAATTCACAACTCGACCTTTTCTCTTCCCACACAGCTAATAACATGAAGGCTCCGTGGGTGGGGGAAATGGTGTTAGGGAACAACAGGAGTGTCTGCAGCCACTGATGGCACATACATCTCTTGCTTCTTGTAGATATGATTGTTGGCAGATATCTTCCTGTGCCACATACAGTCACGTACAGTATAAACACTGCAATTTATCATCTATAACTCTTTTCCATGACAGTTTTGAACGATAATTTTTCCTCTGAAACGTCCGTTCTTAAGTTGTAAGTTAACTATACCCTGAATAGTGTTTTAGAAATGAGCCAATAAGAATATGGACAGGGGTCAGGCTTGCAGAAATCCACCTAAGGTGTGAAAATGTTGGACATCTTAGTGATAAGGTAAATGGAATTATAAACTATGAAAAATTAGCAAAATTAAGAAAATTAGGTATTTGGTGTTGGTGAGTGTGTAGGAAAACAGGATCTTCTATGAACTGATGAAAAAATTGGGAATTGGTAGTCCTTCTCTTAGGGGAGTTTAATGTTACACATCAAAGACCTCAGACATGTTTATAAACTTTTAAAGTGTTCTATTTCTAAAACCTTATCTGAAGAAAAGAGGAGATAGATACCAAAATGTCCACTGAAACAACTTAAAAATAAACAGTTCTGATAGTTGACATTAGTTTAAACAAATTATAGTCATCAATAGATTCTAATAAAAATAATATTCATGAAACCACTTAAGAATATGAGGAAAAATATATACTAAGAACATGATAGTATATATTTATATATAATATATACTAATAAAATTCATACTCATAATTCAAAAGAGAAAAAATAATAGAGTTAGAAATTTTATTTTCTTCACTTTTCTATTAACAAACTTCAGATAGTAAAGAGTTATGACATGTAATATAAAATATGAATGATTAATTCTATTTATGCTAAATACAATTGGACCAACCTGCATAGGGAATTGTTTATTGACACATAATTTTATACACCAGCATATTATAAAGGCTTTTTCATATTGTTGAGGTTAAACTGCATTTCCTGTGATTATGAAATTGTTTCATAATCAGCAATTCTAAGAGAGAACATAGATTTCTGTTCACACTGTGGAGCATATTCTAACCTATGATCCACAAGTAATGCTCACCCTGACCCCTACTGTTCAAACATTGTTGACATACAAATTAATGCCTGGAAATTTTGTTTTCATGTATCTGATATATTAAGATTGATAATTAACTTTATTAAAAGCCTTTAAGGTGTTTAGGATTTTGTGCTTTAAGTTAAAATGATGACTATGCATATTTTCTTGAATTTTAAAAGTTTATAGTTTCTTAATCAAATACAAAATAGACTCTCAATTAATTACTTTAAAAGAAATGAATTTTTAATTGTGGAGTAAAACCAAAGGTGTTTAGATGTGTAAGCGTTTCTGTTCTTAGTTTCAAAGAGATGTGGAAGTTATGTGACTGTATTAACCAATAATATTCCTGACACTATATAATAATTTTTAAAATGTTAATTTAAATATTATACTGTCAGAATTATGCTGAATGTTTTCATGTGGCTCATTTTTACATCTTAAGATAAGAAATCTATGACTTATTTTCAGCTTAAAAACAGTATATGTCATAACACTGATGCTTTTATGAGACTTGTTTCTAAGATTTTTAAAAATATAAACCAATTTTCAGTTAGTAATGCTTTTATTTATGAGATTTATATCTAACACATTGGTATACCAGTTTAGAAATTTTCAATTTAACCTTTTTTTCCACAGATTTGTTTATTTTTCTTTATTTTGGTGATTGGGGAGATGGAAAGAAGGGGGATGGGCAATGCTTTAAGTTTCACACTGTTTTGCTTGCAATAATTGTGTCAATATCATTGTGTTATTGGATAATTATAGGATTTGGAGGCCTGTGACTATTCTTCATCTATTTCTCTGAGAAAGAATCTACTCAACAAGAAAAGGGTTTGCTATGTGCTGTGTAGCATGCGAATGTGTGTGATTTGTTTTGACTATGACTTTTAAGTTTTGTTTCCTGTGTTTGTGTTTGTTATAAATATTGTCTTCTTTTGATG